AAATGTGAAACAGAACTTCAAATTCTTAAAGAATCCAGACTTACTGGACCCACTGATACTGGAGGAGTGCCCAAGACTACGACCTTGAGTTGCACTTCAAATCTTGAACTGAAACTATCCCCTGAAGTCACTTTTACAAAGAGTAAAGATTGTCACCCTTGAGTATTGCATTAAAAAAAAAAATCAACATAAGACCAATTATCAATATAAGACCAATATAAGGTCAACAGCTATTTTAAAGCATAGATGAGAAGGTTGAGGGGCAGGGAGTTGAAGTAAATGGAAGTGAAACAACTAGAACAGAAATAACAAGAATGCTGACACAATGTGAAGACTGTAACCAGTGTCACTGATCATTATGTCTGGAAACTGTGGAACGGGAACAGGTTTTGCTGCGTGTATTTTCACCAAAAATAAAATTAAATAATGATGTTTAAAAAAAGAGTCAAAATGGTTGCTACGTTCTGGAAACACTGAATGCAAGAAATTTGTAATGTAAATGTAAGAAATGTAAAAATTAAGAAATCAGTGTACTTTCTTTTATGAATGTTATCCTTTAATTAAAATGTTTATGTAAAAAAAAAAAATGCTCCCCCCAAATCACCAATAAAAAATTAAATCAAGAATGCAAAAACCCTATAGATCCCATAGACAGTAATGTTACTGTAACACAGCAAGAGGGAGGTAGAGGCAGGAGATGCCTCCCCATCTTATTAGACAGTACACTCCAGGTGTATACCTCAGGGGTGGTGGGAGGAGGGTGCGCTGATAGGAAGGCTATAGGAAGAGGATTACTGATGCTCTGAGTGATTCCTCTTTTTTCACTTTATTAACAAGTGGTGAAGCTGCATTAGAAACGCAATGCCATGCATGCACCAATGACAAAACCAACTCTCAGAGGACATGGGAAAGCACCTCTGCAGGATCTGCAGTTATGAGCGACATTTTCTATCCTGACTCTGCTAGAGTCCGAGGAGAGTACACACAGAACCTGCTTTCACAGGACACAACATGTTCACCTCAGTCTGCAACTGGTTTTGCCTTTTTTTTTTTTTTTTTTTAAATTCCTGGAGTAGCAGGTGCTTGGTAAAATCAAACTAAACAAAAACTAAAAGGCAGCAAGGGCACAGGTGAAGACTGGAGTAGAGCAGAACACAGAACCAAGGAGGGACATTTACACAGCAGCCTGGCAAAGACAGGGAGCTCCTCAGCCCAGTGAGAAGGTGGAGAGAAGGGCACATGGCAGCAGAGGTCTTTCTGTGGATCTCCAAGCGTGGAGGCACCAGGCATGAGAGCCAGGGCAAAGACTGCAGCTTGCATCCTCTCAAGTCACAGATTCGTGCCCCCAGGCTCTCCTCAACAGGCTTAACGAGAAGAAATAAACAGTCAGCCCTAGCTGTGAGGCTCGGGGCAGCTCGGGCGGGACGTGCCTCAGTGGCGCGTCACATACCTCTCCCACTCACCTTGCTGGGTGGCTGCACCTTACACATTTACATGACGCCTGCCAACTCACACAGAGCCAGGCCTTGCCCGGGAACTTGTGCTCCTTGGAGCACGGGACAGAGCACGATGGAACTGGGTAGCCGGGATTCATGTTCTAGCTCCATCCCTGGGCACACCACTTAACCTCTTAAAAGAGACCCGATGTCCTCATTTGCAAGATGAGTTTGCAGAGAACTGAAGAGCACTTAAGAGTGCCTGGCCTGCAGCAGGTGTTTGAATACGTGGTGGTGATTTTTAAAGACTTAAGGAATTGGTCATTAGCCATACCTACCATTTATAATAAAGTGTACAAAGCACAAAATGGTACAGCTGTTGTGGAATACAGTGTGGTGGTTCCTCAAAAAGCTAAAAATAGAACTACCATATGACCCAACAATTCCACTTCTAGGTATATACCCAAAAGACTTGAAAACAGAGATTTATACACCAATGTTCATGCAGCACTATTCACAACAGCCCAAAGGTGGAAACAACCTAAATGCCCATTGACAAATCAATGGATAAACAAAATGTGGTACATACATATAATGGAATATTACTCAGCCAATACGAGAAATGAAGTCTTCATACATGCTACAATATGGATGGAGTTTGAAGACACTATGCTGAAGGAAATAAGTCAATCATAAAAGGGCAAATATTGTATGACTTCATTCATATAAAAAGATAAGAACAGGCAAATGTATAGAAACCAAAGTTTACTATGGTTAACAGGAGCGGGAGGGAAGGGGGAAAAGGGGGCTTATTGCTTACAGAGTACTTAAGAGGTTAAGTTCAGTTTATGGTGATAGAAAAATCACATTGCTTAAGGGTAGGGTTGCACAGTCGACTACTGTAATTGCTGTCAATAAGTTGTACCCCTGTAAAGCGTTGAACTGGTGAAAGTTATGTGATAGATATATTTACAACAATGACCAAAAAAAAGCTACTGAGGCTGCTATGTACAACCAAACACCTCATGGGATATGGTTCATTTCGTTTGGAGGTTTAGGGTCATGGTTTCATGGGACATCCCAGGTAATTGGCCTAATAATGTGTTTAGTGCTTCTGTTCTCAAAAGCTTGCAAGCAGCCATCCAAAGCACAACAATTGGTCTCTATTCACCTGGAGCAACAGAGGGAAGAAGGAGAGTCAGGAGGAGAAGGATGAAAGGAATGTGTGGCTACCTGCCTCCATGAGTAACTGCCTCCTTTGCCATGAGACCAGAAGAACTGGATGGTGCCCAGCTACCATTACTGAACATTTTGATCAAAGATTCCACAGAAGAATCTTTATCAAAAGGAGGAAAATGCAGAACAGAATTTCAAATTCTTAAGGAATCCAGCCTTAAGAGGCTGGACAAACCCCTGAAACTACTGCCCTGAGATAACCTTTAAACTTTAAACCAAAAATATCCCCTGAAGTCTTCTTAAAACCAAACAATAGTTTAGCTTAACTAGTAAAGGATGCCTGCCCTGAGCATTATGCTCTTTTAAGATCTATCTATATGGGATCAAACTGACAACAGCAACTTGAATGATTAGATAGGAACCTCAGGGAGCAGTGAGTTTGTGATAATGGGGGAGGAACAACTCAAAAAAGGAGGGCGCCAATGGCTGCACAACTCGAAGAATGTAATCACTGTCACTGAATTGTACTTGAGGAACAGTTGAATTGGTCTATGTTCTGTTGTGTATATTCTCAACAACAACAAAAAAATAAATCATATTTTAAAAAGTGTGCAAAACACATATACAAAAAATAACATGGCTTTGGGATGTTCACAGTTTGGGATTATCCAGTAGTCAGAGTCACTTCTATCAATGAAAATCCTTAAGAGGCAAGCTGTATAGTAATAATCACATTTTTTAGATACAATGTAAAATGAAAGGAATCATCATGATTATAAGGCCAACGGGTTCCAAATACAGTGACTGTAAACCTCCAGCTACTAAGGCCTGATGTTCCTATCCCGGGCAGGGAAGCAGATTTACAGCACTTACTGACTTCTCTGTGAAGACAGCTATACAGTAAAACAAGACAATCTTGCAGAAGCTGCTCTACCCCATAGAGAAATATGTATTTGTGGATAGCGTGGCTATCATGTCTGGAATAGCGGAAAGAGAAATCTGTGTTCTCTGGAATTTCTATGCATGCCCGACTTGCCTCAAAGTCACCTCAGCGTGGCCCAGGATTAACTCCATCTCCAGAGCTGGATGTCAAGACCAGGTATTAAGGAGTTGTCCCTGCCTCTGGCAGGCACTAACGGAGTACTCCTTGTCCAAGTCCTTAGCCTGAGCACCTACAATCACAGGGTGCAGCCGGAGCAGAGCCATTGCAGGCATGAAGGGCTGGCCTGTTTCTCAGTCATCACTGGTGAGAGAGGCCCCTGCACCTACTTCCCAGCCCCAGAAAGAAAAGCCCACCTCCACAGACGAGAGCATTTTAGAAACTGAAGCAAGTATGTTCTTTCTTTGTTGCATATTTCTACACATGCAGAGTATATCTGTAATAAAATTTTGAAGCCTTTAAGTCCAAAGCTTTTCATCTTTATCATTTTTACCATGATAAGCACCACTGTAGGAGGAAAGAAGAAACAAGTCAATCCAAAATATATAGTTTCAATTTCTCTGCGTGGAGCCTCCCCCTGGGTGCTAGAGTGTAGCCACTAGCTACTAGCAAGGTTCATGAAGAAAATGGAGGGGAAGAGGCTATTGACAGTTGATGTGTAAGCTATTCGTCTGGATTCATACCTTAATCCGACTGTCCCAAAACCTCAAGCTCTCTCAGCCAGATACTAGGAGAGGAGAGCCCCTCTGTCAAAGAAGCTTGTTGTCTGAACTAACTCTATGCCCTCTTGGTTAGCACCTGTGAAAATTCAACCTGCCTTTTAATTCTTAACATTTATTTATTTTTGCCTTACATGTAACCATGAATCACTGGAGAGTAAAACTCTTGAGAGAGAACAAGAAAAAGTTCTCTGGGATTGAGCAAATATAAAATGCTTCGCTTCACCATACCCACACTCTTGGGACTAACTGGGACCTCTTTTGTGTGGCATTTTTGCTTCTCCTTCCACGGATCTTCTCTGTGGTCATTATGTGTCCCTAGGTCTGAGCTGGTGCACAACAACATTTTACTCTCTGGGCGTAAAGACAGAATGTTTTTGAATCTCAGCTGATCATCTCTAGAAAACAATGAGGACCACTGTATTCAAGCACCTTCTAAGTTTCTAGCTGACAACAATTCCAAATAAAATAACCCAGGAGGTAGGACTCTGAAGAGCACAGGCCAGAAAACGCAACAGTAAGAGTCTGCTCAGGAGGGCTACAAAACTACACTCTGAGCTGTGTGCAAAACGCTAAGGGAAAAACGTGTCTGCCCCCAATTTCTAAAATTAATGACCTCACTACTTGAGTGTAAAGTGATTCCTTGGTCCAAGCGGCATCAGAGTATGTTCAAAATTTATCTGGAAGCTCTCTATACAGATACCCAAAGAGGAAATATATCACACTTACCAAAACACACTTCCCTGGCTCGAGGCTCCAGAGAGAACTCTCGGTGTTGATCTTATGTGTGAGCTTCCCTTCCATGAGGACACGCTCTCCATTTTCCTCCAGCACCGCCACTCGGATGAAGTCACTGCTAAGGTCCACTGAGACCTATGAGTACAACAGAACAAGACTATTTTAACTTGTGAGGGTGATAACCAGTGTTCTGTAAGGTGGAAAGGGCAATGATGGTGCCCAAGTTACCTGATCGCACACTTCAGAAAGAACAAAATAAAGCCCAATTAGAGGGGTCATCAGGCATTCCTGACTAAGAAAATCATGCTAGCCTAATTTACACTCAAAGCACGCTGCAAATTATCATTTCCTTTAAGTAAGTGCACTATAAAATCTTTTCAACATACATACTGATAAAGTAAGGCACTTGGTTTTCTACTACCAAATTCCTTTCTTCTCCTTCAGTCAGGTATGACTTGGTTCTGGCTGACAGACGTGAGCCATCATGGGTCGGTATAGGTCTCAAGACCATGGTCTGCTCCTGCCACATTTCCTCCCTTTCTGGCCATCTGGACCCTGCCATGCCCAGCCTGGGGTGATTATCCTGGATTGCTCACCCAAGCACCATGGCATAGGAGATGAATGCAACTTCTTCCCTCGAGAAGCTACGTCTCTGTGTGACTACAGCTTAGTCTTTAACCAGAATAAAAAGATTAACTCCTTTGATTTTTGTACTTTGTTTTGTTTTTGATTTTTAAGAAACCAAGTTGGAAACCATTCATCCTATAAGACTCAGCTCAGCCACTCATCTCTATGAGATATTTTCCTGGGCAGAGCCGGGCTCTCCTTCCTCACTGCTCTGGGAACATCCATTCCCTGTTGTACACTCGTCTATTTCCACAACTAGACTGTGAGCTCCTGGGGAGCAGCGATGCTCTTCATACCCCTGCATTCCCAGCCACTGGTCTCCAAAGCAGGGTCTGTGTACTCCAGGAGGTTCATAGAATAAGTAACTGAAAGGGAAAGAAGCAGAACTCCTGTTTATATTTCATTCCAGTTATTCTTTGCAAATTCTAAAATCTCTGTGCTTTATAATATGCAAAACCTTTTTATAATAGTACTTGCATAATTTATAAATTAAATAGATAGACATAGTGGAAGCAAGTACTTGATTTTTTTTTACTAATACATGTGTGGAATCAAAACAGCTTGGAGACTATTCTCCCATGTCACATGGCAGGTATTCATTAAATGTTTATAAAATAATTGAAAAAAAAAGCCCCTCAAAGTTATAGAATTTCAAACAGGAGTTTAGAGTTTGCCAATGAAATCTGATACTGTGATTTAACTATTTTAGATATTCATAAATAAAAGGGGGAGAGGGAGGAATGATGTGCCAGAGTCGCTACAGTTAAGGGCTTTCTAAGTAAAAGATGAATTCCTGTGCTGTGACCGGGAGGGGAGGAGAGAAGATGACAAAGGGGCTGCCTGGGAGGACAGTGGCCCACTCGGCAGACACAGCCCTGCCTGGTGCCCAGGGTTCTGCTGCAGAGCACTCAAAAGCCACGGGATTGCACAACCCCACGCTTTAAAATGCAGACTTAGGGCATGTTCTCCAGTGAGACTACAGTTCCAATTTATACTGAAATTTCATGGAAGGATTTACTATAACGAAACATTTTACTTTGCTGGATTTTGTAAAGTGACTGCTACAACCAAGCTTTTCTTCCTGCCATCTAACAGCAAAAGAAATACAAATAAATACAAGCTCATTCCTGGATGGATTTAGACAAACAATGGGCTAAATCATGTTTCTCTAAACATTAACTTCTATGTTAATAAAAGCCTGATACAACGCGGCAAAGCTTCGTCAGACCTGGCCTCCCAGGAACAACCTCACTTTAACAAATATAACTCTGTCAGCCAGTTCCATATAACACAATCATTTCCAAATTTGGGCAAGCTTCTAACACTGCCTACTCAGGGTGAATGAATGAAATCATCTGAGGGAGAAAACCAAACAAGAGATGCTTTCAGGAGTTCCAGTTCAAGACGTCAAGCTGGGACTAGGTAATTACCTCTCTGACTTCCTGTAACCCCACGGAAGTGACCGAAACAAAGCACATAAGGGAATAAACCCTAAACAATGAAAAAGGGGGGCGGGGGAGGTCAGGAACAAATGAGATTTCAACAAATCTATGGAAGACACAAGAAGAAAAGGAGGGTGGTGACAGATAACACAGAAGATAGGGCAAGTGACAGGTCTGAACGTGGGACCCCACAGCTACACAGGGGCTTCAGGCTTGCAGTCAGCAGTATGGAGGGCAGGATTGAGAAGAGGGGCAGAAAGTTCATGGGAACCACTGTGCCAGTGGGAAAGCCATCAGAAGGGACAGGGATCCCACTGTTTGCTACAAAGCAACACAGAGCATTTCTCCAAAGAAACTAACAAAAGTCTGAGGAGACTGGTGTAGATGCCTGACTGGTGTAGATGCCCACTGCCCATGGCCCAAGTAAAGGCCTACCCCCTCTAGAATTTGGGTGGCTAATGTCCCATATCCTGTAAAGCAAAGCTGACCAGTCAGTCCACTCAGCTCCCAGCGTCGGGGGAGGAACAGATCTCAGATGCATAATGGAGAAAATCATCCAGCTACCTATAATAATCAACACCGTACCACATTAAGAATGGGAAAAATATTTTTTCCATAAGAAAACTAATAGGGGATTGAGGATGATGTCTATGAGGAAAACCAGCAACATGAAAAGACTTAGGTAAAAATTAAAACCAAAGCAAAGAGTATGGAGCTAATTAGGAAAAAAGAAGGGAAATTCTAAAATATTTTCCATGTTATATCTTCAAAGAGATATGAGAAGATATTGTATCTAGAATAAAATATGAAAATATTTTAAAAACGAAAATAGAACAGTTAGGAAATAAAAAGGAAACTTAAGAGTTCAAAAGTAATGGGCAGGATAAAAATTTCAACAGAAAGGCTGGAAGATAAGGTTAAGGAAGTCAAGATAAGAGTCAGAGATCAATCCAGGTTGTCTAACATGTGACAATCAAGCATTCTAGAAATTATGACACTAAGAAAATAAGAAAATTTTCTGAGCTGAAGAAAAATGTACGCCTTCATTCAGACTGAAAGGGCCCACTAGGGCTGAGCAGGACGAACAAAGATGACTGACACAGACTCATGGTATTTCATAACAGTATTGAAAAAAGGCTCTACAGTTCCAAAGGGGAGGGAAAAACAGTTTACCCACAAAGAACCTGAAAGGAAGAGACTTCTAGAATCAATAACACTAGATGATAGAAGACAAGACTGCAATGTCGTCAAACTTCTAAAGCCTTTTCCCCAGGGAGTGTTTGCTGAAATCTATTTCAACAGCTGATTGAGGTAGTGGATAACAGTTGGTGCAAACAACGGACTAACCAAAAAACTTAAAAGGAAAATTTGGGGAATGAGATGCCCATAGGGGCTTTGAAAAGCTCTGACATATTCCTGGGAATCTAGAAAGCCACACACAAGCATTGAGCTGTATGTGAGCTTAGGAAAAACCTGAGAAGGCCTTAAGCTCCCACCTCTGGCTGATTCTGACACTCTATATGAGTGGAAAAGCGAAAGAGAAGAGTTTTCGACAGCTAGGCTAAGCATTGAAGGTGTGCCCCAACGTGCACACAGAGCCCTCTGGCAAAAACTAACAGATTTACTAATTCCAGATGCTTAAGAAAATCTCTGTCCAATCATTAGCTGACCACTAAGTTAACCAAGCAGAGACTTCAGTGGCCACACATAACGAAGAATACAGATTTTTTAAAATTAGTTCAGAAAAGACATTAAACAAACAAGAACAACTACAACAAGCAGCAACAACAGCAAAACCTAGGCAGAACGGAGAATGTGTTCCAGAGTTGCTACATTATAATGTAAAAATAGTCCCAATTTTTAACAAAAAATTACAAGTCATACAAAGAAACAAGAAAGCACAGCCCATACACAGGAAAAAAGCAATCAATAAAATCTGTCCCTGAAGAATCCCGGACACTGGACTTACTAAAAAAGACTCTAAATTAGCTACTTAAACATATTTCAAGAGCTAAAGAAAACCATATCTAAAGAACTAAAACAAAGGATGAGAATGCTGTCTCACTAATTAAAGACTATGAATAAAGAGATAGGAATTATAAAAAAGTTGGAGGACTATACTTCCCTATTTCAAACCTTACAATGCTACAGTATCAGCTGTGTGGTACTGGCATAAAGATAGACATACAAATCAATGGAATAAAACTGAGAGTCCAGAAATAAACTCATACATTTATGATCAACTGATTTTAGACAACGGCACAAAAATAATTCAATGGGGGAAAGAATAGCCTTTCTTCTACTGGTACAATTGGATAGTCACATGTAAAGTAATGAAAATAAACCACTACCTCACACTATATACACAAATTAACTCAAAATGGATCAAAAAACCTAAACGTCAGAGCTGAAACTGGAAACCTCTGAGAATAAAACAGAGGTGTAAATCTTTGTGATCTTGGATTAAGCAATAGTTTCTTAGATATGACACCTAAAGCACAAGCAAACAAAACAGATTAAACTGGACTTCATCAAAATTAAAAACTTTTGTTATTCAAAGGACACTATAAAGAAAGTAAAAAGACAACTCATGGAATGGGAGAAAATATTTGTAAATCATTTATCACATAAGGGTCTAGTATCCTGACAATATAAGAAATTCTTACAACCAAACAATAAAAAGACAAGTAACTCAATTAAAACATGGGTAAAGGATTTGAATAGATAGTACTACAAAGATGATTTATAAATGGCCACTAATCACATGAAAAGATGCTCAAGATCATTAGTTATCAAGAAAATGCAAATCAAAACCATCACTGAGATACCATTTCATAATCGACTCAACAGCAATGGGTTTTTTGGAGCCCCAGTGGCGCAGTGGTTAAGTGTTCAGCTGCTAACCAAAAGGTCAGGCAGTTCGAATCTATCAGCTGCTCCTGGGAAACCCCACAGGGCAGTACTACTCTGTCCTATAGGGTTGCTATAGGCTACAATTAAAAAACAAACATAGACAGTAACAAGTGATGTTGAGGATGCGGAGAAATTTGAACCCTCAAACATTTC